CCATCATTGTTGTGTACCATTCACTTGGAACCAACTCATAGCTGATCCTCCAATAGGTTTTCGGGATTGCAATGCAACTTCTTGTATTTTTATTCTTTTTTTTTTTAATTTGTTGTTGTTGTGTACTGTCAAATTGGATCTGACTGGCACAGGAGATTTCCCCTCCTCCAGCAGACATCTGGTGGATTTGAACCACAGGCCTTCGGGATTGCAATGCACCTTCTTGCTACTAGGCCATGAGATTTCCCTTCCAGTGGATTTTCAGAAGCAGTAAATTACACAAGAGAAGACTACTCATCTTCCCGAGGAGCATCTGATGTATTTGAACCTTGTGCCGTTGGGATGGCAGCACAGCTTCTTACCACTAAGCCACTTCATTAGAAGCCACTTTAGTAGAAGAGCTACTTCATTAGCCATCAAAGAGATGCAAATCAAAACCACAATAAAATAACTTTCATTTCCACTAAGATGGCTAAAATAAAACAACTACAAAACCAGAAAATAACAAACGTTGGCAAGGATGTGGGGATAATGAAATCTTTACCCATTGCAAACTCGTACAGGGGCTGGAGAAAGCAATGTAGCAGATCCTCAAAACATAAAAAGTAAAATTTCTATGTTACCCAGCAATTTCACTTCTAGATATTTACTCAAAAGACTTGAAAGCGGACTCTCAAGCAGGTACTTGTACACCAATATTTACTGGAGCATTATTCAGAATAGTGAAATATGGGAAAGATGGGGACAACCTAAATGGCCATCAACATATGAATGGATAAGTAAAATATATTAGAATATGACTTAATCAGCATAGAAAATTGAGAGGTTTCTTTTTTCCCCCTTCTTGTGTACCATCAAATCAGATCTGACTGTTACAGGAGATTGCCCCTTCTTCTCCAGCAGAAAATTTAAGTCTTGATTCATGTTACAAAGTGGAGGGAGCTTGAAGACGTTATCCTGAATGAAATAAAGAAATCACAAAAGGACAAATATTGTTTGGTACCACTTGTATTTTAAAAGAACAAAAAATGAGACTAGGAAACTGTATGTAGACCGAAGTTTATTAGTGATTATCAAGGGTGATATGAAAGGGAAAGGGGAATCGTTGCGTCTTCTTTACAAGAATGGAAAAATCACACTGATTAAGGGTGGAGTTCCACAGTCAATTATTCTAGGTGCTGTGAATAGGTTGTAACTGTAACAGAGGTACCACAAGTATATAGTGTTAGCAGAAATTTATTATCTCACAGCTTAGAAGGTGGTTGTTATTATTAGGTGCCACTGAGTTGACTACAACTCACAAAGTCCTTGTAAACAAGAGATCTGAACCCTGCGCTATCCGATGCCACTGTTACAGTCACTGTGTCAATCCATCTTGGTAGGGATCTTTCTTTTTCTGATCTTCCACCTTTTCCAGCATGATGTCCCTTTCCAAGGACTGACCCCTCCTAACAGCATGTCCAAAGTGTGTGGGAACATTAATGTAGGTGGTGACGTTATTAAAGGCGTCACCTCCCACCCTAATTTTTTGGCTGATCACACCTCAGGTCACATCATGAGGGACAATGGTATCATTATATAAACCTCAAGTACCACACAGTCATCTGCCAAGTCGACGACACTTAACAACAACCACGACCACACAGTTACTTCTCTTTTTTTTTCACTTGTATATGATATATGTCAGGGATGTGTCCTATCTCCATACCTTTTCAACCTGTATGCAGAACTGATTATCCGAGAGGCTGGGCTCTATGAGAAGTGTGGCGTCAGGACTGGTGGAAGATCTATTAACCATCTGCGTTATGCAGATGACACAACCCTGCTTGCTGAAATTGAGAGGACGTGATGCACTTGCTGCAGAGGGTCAAGTACTGCAGCCTTCA